AACAAGGAACCAAATTCACAATGGAAGACTTACCATAAACATATTCAATTACCATAAATCATATCCAAATCTTCCTGCCAAATACTCGTCAATACTTAACTCTATTCTAAAGGGTTCATGTTTTCTTGGTTTTCAATATTTTGTGTATGAACTCATTTTTCCAATTTAAAAAGTCAATCTTATATGAATGGGAAAATTCCTGAAATAGGAGTAAAAAAGTTTGAAAATTTCAAAATAGGACTGTCATGTTTTTATTCCCAAAATAGGAGTAATTACTGCCAAGTTTGGAAAATATTGTCATGTTTAAAGTCTGGTACTGCCAAAACATGGCAGTAATTAGTCATATTTTGGGAATAAAAACATAATAGTCTTATTTTGAAATATCGAATCGTTTTTAGTCCTATTTTGGGTAATTTCTCTAGAATTGAATCATGTAGTTATTCATTTAGTTTAAATATTCTTATACTTGTTGTGTTTGCTTAATTTAGTGCAATAACTAAAAAGCATCCAATTCGCACCTCTTCTATGGAGGGTGAATGTCACCTCCATGCCTCCTTGGCTGCCATGTGGCATCATATTTTACTTTATTTTTTAACTTGTCATAACTTTTTTTATTTATGGTCTCACTTTTTTACAAAAATATCAGATTTAATAATGAAAGAATGACATCAATATTACTTATCAGGTTCTGTTGGACAAAAATATGGTCACTTTTAAAAATCTCAGAAAAGTGAACGACCTTTTAACGTATCCCTGCATCTTCCGCTTTCGAATTACGCGTTCATCTTCCACACCGGACTTCTGCACAAGCTCCAGCGCTGAAGACACCGGATCTTCGCCTCGCCTCCCCGATCTCAAGCCGCCTCACAACTTTAGCAGGTCCTCATCTCGTCTGCCATCTCTATCCTTTGCGCATGTCCATCCTTCTCTTCTCCTCCTTCTACCATTCTCTGCTCCAGCGAAGACAGAGCCTCCATGGGTTTGGTTGATACGCCTGCTCGAGTTCTGCCGCTGCTGCGAAACTGTGGAGAGATTCTAGATCTGGCGGCTAGGGTTCCCAATTTGGGCGGTGCAGGGACGTTGTACCTAGGGGTGGACTCGGGTCCGGTCCGGGTCCGGGTCGGGCCTAGGCCCGAGCGGGCCGGCGGTTCAAGAATGGTGGACCAGGGACCGGCCCGGGTAGCCACCGGGTCCGGTCCGGGTCCGGGCCGGGCCTCCGGTTTGGATTTTTTTTTGCTTTCCTAACCCCCCCCCCCTCACCCCCACCCTCCCAAACCCCCCAAACCCATCCTACCCATCAAGCCCAACCGGGGTGGAACCCCAAAAATGAAAAAAAAAAATCAATTTGGCCCGGGCCCGGGCCCGACCCGGCCGGGCCGGTTCACCAAATTTAAGACCCGAGCCCGGACCCGCCCTACCCCCTGGGCCTAGGCCCGACCCGGACCCGGACTCGAGAACCGGGCCGGTCCCGGTCCCGCACAGTAACGGGCCGGGTGGCCCGACCCGAGTCCAACGATAGTTGTACCATTTTCGAATCGGATGGATTTACACTACTAGGTTCGATTTTTTGGATGAAAGGTAAGTATATATTAAAATCACCCAAAAGTAACGTTATACAATGTATCAAAAACTATCTAAGCTAGCTAAATTAGACAAAAATAGTATCTAACGTTCACACCCCCACCCCTAACCTTGCGGCAAGGGGTAGGGATAGAATTTAAAAACGTCCAAAACATCCCATAAGTCCAAACTAGCACGGGACATGCCATCCACATTGTTCCATGAGATCCAACTCAGCTAAGGCCCATCACCCATTTTCCAAAGCTCCAGCAGCCCAGCAGCTTGCAAAGCAAGCAGTCAAAAGGTCACCAAGTGCAACGGTTCCAGATCCAAACCAATGAAGGTCCATCATTGGGCCCGCACAAAAGCTTAGCCCAATCTAGGCATCAAGAAGTTCACGGAAGTCTCACCACAGCGAACGGGCCAAGAAATAGGGTTTCAACTTGTCAGCCCAATCTCCAGCCTAGCATCGCTAACCCAGATGCGCCGCAGCTGAGGTGACAGCCTAGCCAATCCCTGACAAGCCAGCAATCCAACGGTCAAACGCCATCCCACCCCCCAACCACCCCACACAGTGTCGGCATCCACCAAGCAGTCTGGTGGCCAGAGAAGCAGGGCAATGTAACCAGCTCAAGAAGAACCCTTCCATACTGATACTCCACCCTTCACCTTTCATCCCCGTTAGGCTCCGGTGACCCCCAACGGCAGCGATGGGCGGCGTCAGGCGGCGGTACAACAGTAGCCGGAAAAGCAGCGCTCAACCAAGACCCACCTTTATCCCTTCCAACGAACGACAATTGATGATGATGGCAAACCGGCGAAATCCCGGTGACGACCCAAAACCAAACCACCACAATCCACCAATCCATTATCCGGTTTCGGTAGGTTGTGATATCAAACCAAATGTAATCGGTATAGGAAGCCATCCACAGTCCAAGTAGTTCAATCGAAAAAAAAGTCAAACAAGAATCAAACCACGAACCAGACTTCTGGGATAGAACAGAGCTTGTATGCGGAGAAGAGAGACCAGCTTGAGACTAAAATCCTATTCAGCGACTATCAGAGTAAACGCAGGTCAGGACACCAAACTCCGGCCTCCGGTGGCTACGACTCCACCACCTAAGCCTTGGCCAAGCTTAGGGGTTGTACCGCATAGTGAAAAGTGGAGGCGCCGTGAAATCTGCACCGGGACCCCTTCACCCTGTGCTGCAACGAAGTGACGGCCACCACCCAGAAGATGAAACCCGCCGGAGAACATGGCAGCTACGAACTCCGGTAGGTCCCGAATCACCCTGAGGACAAAAAAATCTGGTCAATCACCGGCGTGACCCACCACCAGTGCATCGTCCAAAGCTTAAATCCCAACCCAAACCCAACGTCGTGTCCAAAGACAGAGAAGCTGCGACGCCGAAGGTTTTCACCCGGGTTGTAGAGCGACAAGGGAAAGAAAGCAAACGTACCACGGAAACCATCGTTTGGTTAGTAAACCGGCAAGCCAGACCCCAAGGCAATCATCTCCTCCGATTTCCTGCTTTGTCACCCCTTAGATGTGCTTCGCCCAAAGCCAAGCAGGCATCCCCAATTCCAGACCTTGAACCATCGTGACCATAGACAGCCCCTAGAGTTCCAAATATAAACATCAGACCCACCGGAGCCAGGAGGGCCCCAGCGGTGGCCACTGTGAGTGGTGATGCGGACTTGAGAAAAACCTGTGAGGGGAAGAGTCTAGCCGCGAATGGCTAGAGAGAGACGCTCTCAACTTCTCCCTTCGGCTTCGGGCTTCAGGCGTTGGGTTTACACTACTAGGTTCGATTGGTGAGGGAAGGGGAGCGTCCCTGTGGGCGGTCGCATTCACCAGAGGGTGGTGGAGGCGGTCATCGACGGGACGGTGGCACGGCCTCCGTGATGGCGATTTTCGTTGGTGGTAGTGGTTATGGCCTATGGGATGAGGTTGCCGCATGTGGTGGTCAACAGGGTGATGGTCAATGGTGGTAGTCAAAGGCGGTGGATATTGGCAGTGGCGGCAGCGAGTCAGCGAAGGTGGTGGCCGGAGATGGCTGGAGTCATACAGGGGTTGTGGATGATTGGATGTGATGGGGAGGAGGGCTAGAGGGGGAGGGCGGCCGTCCAGCCGGCTAGCCGACAAGGAGACGATGGTGGGGTTGTTGTGGCGGTGCCACTATGGCCAAAATCGCGTGTCACTGACGGTGGTGTCACTATGACAACAGCAATGAGTGGCGGTGGCTGGCGGTAGCAGTGACATGGTCGTGGTGACATTCGATAGTGATATGAAGATGTCGGTAGTGACATGAAATTGGAACAATGATATGAATATTTGGTTGTCACTTTATTTTAGTCACATTTTTGTCTAAATGTAAAAGTGATCACATTTTCGGAAAACTGAATTAAATTAGTAATAATCAGGGAAAACCCCCTTTAATAATTTTTTATGATGTATTGGTGCCACATGTAGTATTGGTTCTATATGAAAGATTGTAAAAATAAAAAATTGATGTATTTTTTTTGAAAAAAGGGATTAAATTGGATTAATAAAGAGTTGACCTGCCAAGTGGCAGCACCCCACCCTCCTTCGAGGGGTGAACATTTCTTAGTATGTTTTTACTTAAACTATTTTCAGTCCCAGACTAGATTAAACCAAATCAAATCAAATCAGACCTGCTTTCAATAGTTATAAAATAAACAAAGACCATACGTTTACCAGACCAGACCTGATTTCAATAGTTATAAAATACACAAAGACCATACGTTTACTAAACCAAACCAGCAAATTACGTCCAAGTAAAAACATCCTTACTCCTATTTCAGATATTTCCCTTAGAATGTCATGATTAATAGGATAGGATTATTAACTTATTTTATCCCAAACTATCATCAAATCCACAAAGCTATCCTATTATTTCACTTCTATAAAAAAGACTCAAACTTCATCCTTTTAAACAATTATGCTTTTCTTTTTTGTTTTTTCAAAATTACACATTTTTATCAATACCAATAAGATATAAGCAATACAAGTTTGTAAGCTTAAAACTAGAAAGAAGTGAAAAAATACGAAATATAAATATGATTTCTTCTTAAGTTTTACTAATTCATCCATTGAAAGTATAATTGTGAGAAAAGTTGAAATTTGAATCTTTTTTTAATAAAAGTGAAAGTATGGGATAGATTTGTGAATTTGATGATAGTTGTGAATATATTTAGCTAATAATCCAATAGGATATACTATAGATCTTTTATTGAAATTAAGTATATTTTCTGAGTTAAATTATAAATACTTTTTCGGCTCCTTTTTTATTTCCTCTCCTACGGTTTTAAGTAAAAATATTGTAGTTGAAATTATTTAGGAATTAAGAGTAGGAAACATTTTCATCATGTCAGCCACAAAACCATTTCTTAAAAAGAATGTGAAGATAATTTTGGAATGACACTAGAAAAGAATGAGGAAAAAGTACTAGATTTGCAGTTATGCAGTAGTGCACACTGCCTCTCAAAAAACTCAACTACAGTCCAACTACTCATCTCCTGGCTGTTATTTATGTGCCTAAAGATGAGCAGGTTGCAAATGAAGACAAGAAGAACCAAAGCTTTGCAACAAAATTAGTCATACCAGAAGCTACCCATTAAGGTCTGAATTATCTTAACCAACATTAGCATCTCTAGGTAAGAAATTGTAAACAAAGAGGAGAATTTCCCTCTTTTACATCTCACCATGGTTTAAGAACACGCCGAGAGAAACTGCTCAAAGAATGTAGCAAATAATCTATTATCACTCAATCTTCAAAATCACCTGAATGCTCCAGTAAATAGTTTGCTGCCAACTCTTCGTTGCGGTCACATGCTAAAAACGCCTCAATAACAAGAGCTCTATCAAAGCCCAAGCCCTCCAGCTGGGAAAATCAAGTGGTGTTTAGTGATCATTACTCCAAAATAAGCATAACATTATCGGATTAATTACATCTACCTCCAGCTAGAATTAACAAAGGATCCTTGATGTTCTTTAAAACCACAAGTACACCCATGACAAGTAAAATAAATATCCTATGACAAAAGGTAATAGAAATGAGTGTTTTCGGACTAAATTGCACTTACCATTTGTCCCGAGAACATTTTTTCCTAAAAAACATAGACATTTTGATTGATAAAGCAATTAAAATATGAAAGCTGAGTTGATTTTAATTCCTGCTAATATTCTATCATATTCGGTGCCAGTGGTATCTTTCACACACAGACACATGACTGTTCAAAAGGTCTATTTGTAGTTTATATCAACACTAAGGACCATTTGCAATTTGTGGGGAGTTAAATGTAATTACCTAATGTTATAAAAGTGTAATGGACAGAGAGGCTTGAAGGAAGGTTTGCTTACCCGCCCAATTGCCTCCTGCTCAGCTGGCGTAACACTGACAGTATGTGGCATATCCTGGTCTGGCTGATCATCAAATATGTCACTGCAAGAGATATCAATACACTTTAATGATGAGCACATTTCTCAGGATGCACCAGTTCATACAAATTGCCTACTTCATCAGCTTTTCACGACAGTTGATAAACTCAAAGCCAAAATTAACCTTGCATTAACTTTCATTGAAACAAGATTTCAAAGAAAGCTCGAAAAATCCAAGGAATAGAGTTGATACCCAATTTAGTCAATCAACTATATATGACTCGTGTTAAAGACCCATTTAAGACTTTATTTGGGTCCGTTTTCAAAAAAAAACTTTATTGGGTCCAAATTTCATAGACATCTAGTAATAGATAGATTAAGTGTAAATCAAGGACCTAACCAGGTATAAAATCCAACAAATAAGTAATTGGTCAAAATTGCAAAATCCGTTTTAAGTGTAAATAATGAATTGCATGTTGATCCACAGCACATAACCATAATAATTGCCGGCATAAACAAGCAGGTGCAACATTTGGTATTGGTAATATAAAAGGCATAAAATGAACTTAGACAAAAAGGAGCAAACTTGGAGGTCAAGAGACACACCCTTCAGAATCATCAACAGGCTCATTGATTAATTGGAGAAACTCTTGATGGTGCTCCTGTATTGTTCTTAAAAGATTAGGGTTTTGCTTTCCCAGCTCCTGAAGCATGGGCTGCAAAGAAATCACCAGCTTATTGTGTCAGGATATATACAACAACCAAAAAACACAATAAAGAGAAAATAAAAGTCAATGACCTGCAGGATTTGCGGATTAGATTGAACCATTGTACGCAGTGCTTGGAACTGGAATGCAGAGAAGGAACCCCCAATGATATGTTTAGAACTGGGTTATATATACTATTAGGTATTTACACAATGGACTTGAAAACATAATGACTCTACCTGTTGGCTGTTTCGGAGGAAATCAAGGGATCCAACACCAGCGGCACCAGAAACCTGCTCCTGTAAAATTCACCCATGTAATACACACACAATAACATACATTAATACATACATACATACATACATACATACATACATACATATATATGTGTGTTGGTATGTAGATGTTACGACTCGGGGATACTTCATAAAATAGTATGTAGGCATATAGTATGAGAATTCCGAGAGAACTATAACATACCTGCGGGAATAAATTCAAGGGGGATGAATTAGGGCCTCCCATACCAGGGACAACATTCACTGCACCTTGAGCTGTGGCAGCCCCACCACTCTGAGACACTGGTAGGGCCACTTCAGCTGTCTCTGGAATACCCTATAAACAAAAGCGCAATGTGTAAATACCAACAAGTCTACAAAAGTTTGCATTTTGAAAATAAACTCTAAAATAAGGGATAAATAATTTACTGAATATAAATAGTCAATAGCTCTTTCCGGATTGTTATAAGCAGCGCGAAGTGCTCGCGTAACTGCTTCCTTGTCCCAATTTCCGCCGCCCATATCCATAATATGTTGAATGGTCTGCTCAAGATTATTGCCAGCCACTAAATGTGAAGCAGCTTGACTATAACTATCAGAGGGAACTCTGCAACAAGAGAACTTCAATTGAAGTCAACTCCACTTGGCCAGTAAAACATGAAACCCTAGAAGAACGCAAAAAAAGGTAGAGAGAACAAACACTCAATATAATTAGATGGATTAGTAGCTTGTACCTCGCTGTTGCGGCATCAGAAGCAGATGCCACAGTCTTAAGAACCCTACAAAGGTAAATAAAATCCATAGCGAAAATTACCAGTTGGTCCAAGGTATCTACTACCCAACTGGTAAAGCAAAATGACAAGTGTATTTACACTTACGGTGCTGCAGGAGTAACTTCAGGTGGTGTAGTAGTATTCGAAGTTGGAACACCAATTGCAGAAGGCTGTTTATAGGAGATGAGATAAGGACGGAATGTAAGGGCAGTACATCAAACATCCATATAAGAAACAATATATAGAACAAAATATCTTAGACTTAATACATGTTCAGCACACCTGAGCAGAAGATGTCCCAGATGACCCAACAGTTTTACTCTGCATAATAAAATATTTAAAAGAACATTTATCCAGCCAATCCAATATAAAACTATGAAATATACAAAAATTCTGATGCTCAGGTTACAAAAATTATTAAGAGTGGTGTGGGAAAAAGAAATTGCAAAGTAGTTGCAGCAACAACCACATATTTAAACGAACTACCTTGCTAAGCATGACAACAAGAAATCCATCTTCAGAAACATTGTTTTCAGTCAATGTGCTCTCATCTTTCAATACTTTACCGTTATGAATAAGTAACTGCTGACCACATGGATAGCTATCCTTTCCCTGTGCATCTTCAATGTTTTTCTTTACTGCCATAACCTGTTTTTAATCAAAAGAATAAGACAATTTAAAAGGCATTTGGTGTAGGATAGATTAAGAAGAGCCGCATTTTCTCATCGGTTTTTTTTATGCCATTACTAGCAAGGCCAATGTGACCAGGATATTATGTTGTTTGGAATCGCGTATGATTCTTTGAGTCAACCGAGTGTAATGCACCAAGACTCATCAAGGGATTCTCAACAAATATATATATATATATATATATATATACACTCCCTGTCCCAATAAAAAAAATCAGCACTCATTGAAGAAGCAGTACTCATATTTACTTTCTTCAATTCCATAGATAGCATATTACAAACATTATGCACTAAAATAAGGATTTATTTTTCTGATCTTTCTGTTGGTTCCTTATGAACTCTGCCTGCAGTGTGACACTGCTGTGGAGGAATCCAAGGAAGTGTAATACGTAGTACCAAACTAAAACTGTGGAGATCAAATTCAGAACCTAAGGGCTTCAAGCCAAGCAGATCTAACCCAGAATATATGGAATGTAGATTCAGGAAAACATATTTAAAACAGTAGAGCTGATACGTGGTTCGACTCAGAAAAAAAACAAGATAGAGAGTTTTAGCCATTTTGGTTCTATAGTTCAATAAGATGAGAAATTTAAAAAGAAGGCAGGATGGATGGAGTGGATACATTGCATTGAGAATTTTGTGTGATTGAAAAGTACCACTTAAGTTGAAATTTGAAAGGGGTACTTTATGGGGTCGCTGTTAGAGCTGCTATGTTGTATGGCTCAGAATATTGGCGATGAAGTACCAACATGTTCACAAAAACTAGTAAGAATGAGAATGTCGAGATGGATGTGTGTAAAGCTAGGAATGGCACAATTAGGCATGAGGTGGTCAACGATAAAATAGGAACAAAGTGAGTGAGAGAGAGAGTAACTGTGTATAGAAATGCAATTTAAGAGAGGCAGAGAAGGTGACTCTTAATAAAAATAAATGGTGGAAAGGCTGTGATTGGTTTTGTTGATCCTCATGACTATTTAATAAAGTAATCACAATTCACAAATCACAGAAAACATATCCACCGACATCTGTGCAATTAGAAGATGATGACTTGTCCATTTGCACTAGCTCACTAAGATATAAGCATTCTAAAATAAATGGCTGCCTGTCATGCAATACTCATTTAAACTTATTCATTTTTAATTGTCATCATAGAGCCATTATAAAAGTCACATGGCAAGGCTACACCTTCTAAGACCAGATAAAGAAGGATAGCATCTAAACAATAACACCTATACAGTGCATTAAATTCTAACAGCTATAGCTCATGCTGCAGTTTTCACTGTTTATTTACAGTTATTATAATGATTCACTCAATTGATGATTTTCCCTATCACACAAGGCTTGTTTGGGAAGTTGTAATCCTTGTGAGTGAGTAATTTGACAAATGTCTCGTTTGTAAGAGGATAAAAAAGTCGAAAAAAGTATCTTGAAGCTCTGTACAAATCCTTCAATAAACTCTACAAAAACATAAATTTTATTGTTGTCGTACTCAAAATATACATTTGAAATATTCAGGCAAAAACACCAAACCCTATGTAACCCAAGGAATTTAAGTTTATCAGAATTGAGATAGGGAGCTAAAAACCCTTACTTTACAGATTTTAGATTATACAATGCGCAGGTAATGAAGTACATATAAGACAATAGAAGAATAAAATGTATAAAGGAGGCCTGACTGTGTCGGAGGCCTGAACCCTAATATCAAAGTGACTGCCTTTCAATGTCTTGACAGTAAGCTTCATCGCAGCCAGCTGAAGGAAAAGCAAAGCCTGTATCTGAAGAAAAATTGCAAATGCTGCTTCCTTTGGCCGATCGAAGAAATCAAGAAATCGAAGCAAAAAAAGAAAATAGATGGATTTGGCTTTGTAATTTGTATCAAAATCAAGAATAGTACTCCTAACTTAAAAAACGAGTGTGCGCTCTAAATTAGGGCCCCTCATCTAATTGGCCGAGAGTTACCGAGTGGGGACTCCGGAATCCTGAAATCTGAATAACTGTAGACTACAAAATTATTACAAAAATTCAAATTCAACACAAATTTTCTATAACCGTGCAAAAATGGTCTAGTACACACAATTTGAGATGACTAAGTGGACTTACAACCTCTCAAATGCCTTGTCAGATAGAGTGTGGGGTCCTTGGGGTTGACGATTCAACTTTTTGGAACATTAAAATCTTATGACAGAAGACTGTGACTCAATAGTACCAGAGTGAGCATCACCACTAGGAATAGGTTAGTCATAGCCTCACTTACATCGGTACAAATAAGAACTACGTAGTATATTTTTGAGGAAGATAACACTTGTAAACAAGTTGTGCACAACTTGTACACACTATGTAAATCTAAGAATTTATCATTTTCATTCTCCCACTTTTTCCTCTCCTCCCTTCTCTCTTCCTCCTCTCTCCCTGCTCTCTTCCCTCTCCACCTGACTCATACATATATCCAAAGGAAAATTGCTTATTTTTCTCCTCTTTTTCATCATCCTCTTCCATTCTTCATCCTCTTCTTCTCTACTTTTTTGTATCTAATTTTTTCTATTACTCGCACAAAATCAGCCTTGATGGATTATAGGGATCCAAACATGTATAATTAGGAGAGATTTGAGCTAAAGAAAGTGAAGAAGATGAAGTGTAGTAATGAATTAGTTGTGTTCTAGGGTTACAAGAGGCTCCAAGAGGGTATAAATAGGGAAATCCGGGTCTGGGCCTCTAATATGGGCCTGACAGACCCGGTTACATAAATGGACTGATAACATAAAAGGCTAACCTAGTGGATACAAATACAAATTGGACTGTACAATAATATAAATGATATCGGTGAAGCGTGTGTGGGCCGTTGTTCAGGCCTAATAGTCGTGAGACCCGAGGATCCGAGTATATATACTCTATCAAGCCTATTTATCTATTTCCATCCATTTTTATTATCTTTTCATTTTTTTGAAATATATGTAATTTTGGCGTGCACACAACTATATCACTCATTTGCACGTATTTAGACAATTGAATATTTTGTTCACCCGGAAAATAAAATTAATCACACAAAAAGTGAAGTAGATCACACAGACAATTATTGTATGTGAGCATCATAACTATTGTTTGTTGATAAAATCTATGTGATCACATACACTTAAAATGATCTCACAGACAACTTTTGTCTTTAAGTCCCACAACTATTTCTTGTATGGTAAAATCTATGTGAAAAAGCCACGTTTTGGTCACTTAAAATAACTTTATGTGCACAATTAAATCACTTTGGTGGCTCATCAGCTGTCTTCTCAGACTTTTCCTGTTCATTGTCCTTTGATTTGTAATTGGATGAGGAAGTTCTCAACTTGTTTGATGAATTGTTTTTCCTGGACAACTTTTTGTTCACTTGGCTAGTCAAGAGAGCCAGTTGTTTTTGTAAATTTGAAACTTCAGAATCAGAACTAGTCTCATTATTGGTTTGGGCATTACAAACTTTTCTTTCTGAGCTTTGGATGGGAGTTAGGATTGAGACTCCATTACAAGTGTCAGATGATCAGCAATGTAGTTGTCTTGATTCTCAGAAACATCATTTATGAACTATCTTATGGCTAAAACATACCTACTCTGGCGAATGTGTCTTGCAATTTCTTCCCTTTACGGTTCAAGCTTGAAAACAACGGATGTTCATCTCCATGTTTGACTTCTTGATGATGACTTTCCTCATCTCATTTAGCAAAGTTAAGAACATGTTGTATGCCTCTTCAAGTGTTTCACCTGGTCTAGCCCTAAATGCACCATATGCAGTTAGAGTGCTTGCCTTCCTACCCTTAAAGCCTAATTTAGTCCCATGCATCATTTTATAGATCTAGTCCCACATTACCTTGGTTGTTTCCATGTTGTTAATTTGGACCTATATGTCATTTGGTATAGCCTGGAGTAGGTATGTTTTAGCCATAAGATCACCCTTCAGCCCAACATGTCTTCATCATCATATTCGTCAATAGTTTTCAACCTGATGGTATATGAGACAGGAGGGTTGTTCTCTGGATTTCCAGGGACTGTCAGCCATAGTTGTTCAAGTCCATTAGTTATGGATGACAGAATGCCTTAGGATTGATCCTTACTTTCCAGAAAGTTGAGAAAGCAATTTCTCCGCATCATGTACTCTCCTCTTCGTAGGATAGGAGGTCTGGTTTCATTTTCAAGAGAAAGTGCATCAATTTTTTAGAATTGATCACTCTGTGCGGTTGATCAACTGTTAGAAAGGCGATAAACAGGGAGTTGGCAGATGTTGGCAACATCAAATAGTTCTAAGTGTAGAATGGAGGCAATGAAATAGTTTTAAAGTGGAATGGCGGCAAAGTATAGGTCTAAATTGAGAATGACGGCAAAGTTTAGTTCTAAAGAGGAATGGCAACAAAGTTTAGTTCTAAAGTAGAATGGTGGCAAAGTATAGCTCTAAACTGAGAATGACGACAAAGTTTACTTCTTAAGAGGAATGGTGGCAAAGTTTAGTTCTAAAGCGGAATGGTGGCAAAGTATAACTCTAAATTGAGAATGACAGCAAATTTTAGTTCTAAAGAGGAATGGTGGAAAAGTTTAGTTCTAAAGTGGAATGGTGGAAAGTATAGCTCTAAACTGAGAATGGCGGCAAAGTTTAGTTCTAAAGTAGAACGGCGACAAAGAAGTAGTTTGAAAGTAGGAATGACAGTAATGTCGAATGGTTCTAAATTGAGAATGGAAATAGTTGAAGATGGTTCTAAACAGAGAATAACAGCAATAACAATGGTTCCAAAAGGAGAATGGAGGTAATTACCGGATAGCGGTAAGTTCTTCTGAGGTATTTGTCGCTAAACTTGAGAATGAAGATGATTCTCCAGAAAACTAGGGGTGGGCAAAATAACCGAACCGGCATGGTATCGAACCGGACCGATATGGTACCGGACCGGAAAACGGGATTTCAAACGGTTCTCAACAATTTTGTCCCGAACCGGACCGGACCGATTCCAAACCATGCCATGACCGGTTCTCATTTTATTAATTTATATAATTTTATAATTATATATACATGTATACCATATTACCATTAATTACTTTGATTACTCATTTGCACTTTGCTAATTGCTAGTTAACCGGATCGGTAAAAATGAGTAGTATTATATGAAATTCATTAACTATTTTATTGCTAGTTATTTATGTTTTGTACTATTATAGTTTATAAGAAATTCATTAACTATGTAATACTACCTCTGTCCCAAAAAACTTTTCCATTTTCAAAACTTTGACCAATTATATTTTTTATTGAGAATTATTTATAATATAAAAATTATATGAAAATGTTCTTTGTTAAAAATACTTTCATAAAGTATAAAATTTATAACTTCCATAATACTCTATACTAATCAAAATCATGGTTCAAATTTTTTGAAATGACAAAGTTTTTTAGGATGGAGGTAGTATGAGAATTGATAATTGTGTGGATTTTTTGATGATGACTAAGTTTTAATTTATCGAAAAAAGTGGCATTATTTGGCATTGGTATGGCATGATACCGGACCGTTTGAAAATGGAACCGAATCGAACGGGTTTAGGTATAAGACCGAACCGAACCGAACCGAACCGTTTCACTAGTAACGGTCCGGGTACGGGTTCGGTAAATTATTGGACCGGACCGGACCGCGCCCACCCCTACAGAAAACTGTAAACAGATAGAAAGTTAGTAAAACTAGTATCGGCAGACACGGTTTTCATCATCGATCACTTTGCGGTAGTTTTTTTTATAAAAAACTATGATCTTGACGATCAGAATGTTGAGTCGCTAAAGCTCTCCTGTTGTTCAACGTCGTTCATCGATCAGTAACACCAAGAGGCTCTGATTTCAATTGTTGGTTTATCCACTCTCTAGAATGGATGCAGTATGATCATAGAACATATTCAATCACGTACAAGAAAACATCTCAAAAGACAAGAGAACGATATAAAATGGTTTATACTAGCATGAAATGATCGCTAGTCTAGAGAGAATATTTCTGCTACTCTGTCTACTACACAGAATGATATGACATGAGAAGCTTTGTACAACGTTACTCTAAAAGGTACTGCGTAATAGCTGAAAAATGACCTCAACCGGAGTATGAGTACTAAAATATCGTTGGAGTGCAACATAACATATTTCTATATACGATGTCATAGCCATTTTCAAGTCTTTTTAGGCAGCATAAATGCCTTTTTATTGACAAATAAAATAATGATAGTGTTATTTGTACTATGTAATTCATATATGTATTCTTACTGTTAACTTAATTACATGCTACATAGAATTTTTTAAATGTGTACATTTGAGTTTAATTTATTTTCCATATGTTTTAATCTGTATTTCAAGAGGCATTACATATAATGCAATGTATCAGACAATCTTCTTAATATCTCATTCAGAACGGTATTTTATGACACATGTTGTTATTACATCAAATAAGGGACATTAGATGCATGTATATGGCTTTTCCCCTAGCATAATATTAAATTGATGTTCACTATGTACAACAAGAATTAATTCCACTTTTGGTCGTATGAGTTTTATGTCAATTCCACATTTAGTCAACGTCTTTCACTTTATCAACTTTTGGTACTTGTGTAATTTTAATTGATTGATGAAATATAATTCCAGCGAAAAGAGCTTAATCAATCAAATATTCATTGACGGTAGGAAGGAAAGTAATAGCAATATTATTCGTCTGGAAAAGCTCCCTTTACAAGAGATGTACAAGAGTATTTATAGGCTATAGGAACTAGTATTCTAGTATGAAACTGATACAATAAATGCTATTAATTGCATATTAATTCGAATAGGACTCTTGTAACGTCTTAGCCATTGCTAGATAGCTATGTTGGAATGATATCCTGCCACGTAAGCCCTAGGAATATCCCGGCCTCACTAGAACTCCGTCCAGGCTCGAGGTCTGATGTCCAGCCTGGCCTGGTTGTAGGTTCCTTTCGTGGG